GAGGCTTGCTTATACCCATAAGCCACTACTTGCACGTCACTCAATACAACTCTATGTTAAGTTAAAGGAATATCTGGGTTAGAAAGAACAGTAAGACTCTCAAAATTCATAAACAAGGTGTTTTTAAAAAATATATCATGGAATTGTCTTCAGGGACAATTTCCTTTTCTTTGCTTCTGTATGAATAGGTAAAATATTTAGAAATGTTTTCTTATTTTTCCACACAGCCTAAGGTAAGAGGAGTAAATATGAGTTGTAAAGAAAGTTCCATGGCGCACACAGGGACACCAAATCTTTTCTTTGCCTTTTCTTTTTTGCCTTGGCCTATAAAGAAACTAGCTTAGAACTGAGTATCTATCAGTAGCTCTTGACCTAACAGGATTAATAGATTTCAGAATTTTCCAAGTTTCTTTGGAATCTATTTTCCAAATTTAGTTTGGGTTCAAGTTCCTCCATGAAAATTAAGGATCCTAAAGAAACCAAACAAAATGCATTTATTTTAAACAATATATCTTCTTGATCAAATCTCCTGTATAATAAATGTCAAAACATATAGGTAGGTAATTGAATGGTTTGAATATTACAAACAGTGCTGGCCAAATGTCCATTGGCTGAGATCTGTAACAGATAGTGGTTTCAGTTTTAAAGTAGGTAAGATTCATTAACAGTTGTATTACAAGCAGGAAGACAAAAATAGTAAACGTAAGCAACAATAATGTCAAAATGGTAAGAGTTAAAAAGTATAGAACTAAAATATCACTTGAAGTTGGTAGCTAATCTGTTACAACACACTTTCTACTGATCCTGATTGTTAGAGTGATATTGTGAGTCAGGTTTTATATAAACATGATTAATGAAATAAGAGAGTGGAATCAATATTATGCTCTGATTCAGAAAACTTGGAGTGGCAAAAATGTGTTTTAACAAGTCTTCCAGGTTAATTCTGATGCCTGTTAATATTCTGGCTTAGACTGTGACTACTTCTACAAAGATCACAAAGTCAAATACTTAAAACAAAGATCAATAGTCGCATTAAAGCTCCTTTCCTTCTAAAAATTATCTTCTTAGGATACTAGCATGTATGACCATTGTTGAACAGACTCTCCTGATCTTCAAGTGGAATATTTGCCTGTAATTCGTAAAGAAGCAGACTGTCCTAGAGTTGAAAGGGATGCTCAATAAACTGAAAGGTATATAATTGAGAAAAAATAAATTATTGACATTTTTTCGAGTTAAGGTATATTAGGAGTTCTATTTCCCCTTGGATATAGAAAGCTGGGGCTAGTGTTCCTTCTACCCTAGCAAGAAAACCTATGTAAAGTAAAAAAATCACAACTTTGCTGAACACATCAAAGAGCCAAAGTCACTAGTCAACCAAGTAGTATCAAATCCACTGACTCTCAGCCCTGCCAAGGAGAGATGAGACACGAGCATGTCACCAGTGACAGACTACAGCTAGAAGAGATGCTGGGTGCCATATAACTAGGTTAGATGCATTCAGCTACAATTGTAATGTATTGTAAAGGTCAGCTGTGGACTAGAGTATAGCACCCTAGGAGCTGTAGACACAAGAGTTTGCACCCACTTGCAGGCTCTTCTCCATGGACTTCAATCTCCTGCTCATGAGAAAGACTGTGGGAAGAGTAGGAGTTAGGCAAGTACCTTTCTTGGTGTTGCAGGCTTGAAGGGGGAATTGGTCACTGCTGGGAGAAAAGCATGAAGTCCTGTTGCAACCTTTCTCTGGAAAATAAAATAAGCCTCTGGGGGAGGAGCAGAAAACCTGTCACCACCAGGGCAAACATGCAGACCCACTGTAGCCACAGGAAAGCTTAAACAAACAAACAAACAAATAACACTTCCAACCCTGGGGAAGTCTTGGACTCAGGAGCCTACACCAATAATATCAGAGACCTGCTACAACTGGGAGAGGGAAAAGAAACTCTCCCATAGAAGACCAACCAGAGATAGATGGAGTTTGGCTGCCAGGAAGAGAAGAGGCAGGACCACTGAGAAAGGCTATTTCTAAGACCTAGAAACAGATCCTGCCTAAGGTAGAGAACCCCTTGTCCTTACCACCAGACTACCAAGAACCAAGCAGTGTGTAACTGCAGTCTATCACTGGTTGAGGGAAAAAAGTGTGAAGAGGGATACAATTTGTGATAGAGATGAAAGCAGAAGCTAAAGGTAAAGGAGAAACATTGAGAAAATGCATCTGAAATTCCAGCCTTCAATCTAAGAGAAAGGAATTAAAGCCAATGGTTCACTGAAGGTAATCATAGGAACAAGACAACCCAAACTCAGCCAATTACTGACTATATTCACTCAACAACATCCCTTCCCATATACACACATTCACTAACAGCCTAACAGAAGAGATGTAACCATTTCCAGACATAAAGTTTCTACTGTTAAACACAAAATGTCTGATGTTTAATCAAAAATTACATGACACACAAAAAGGCAAGAAGAAAAGCACAGTGTTAAGAGAGAAAATAATCAACAGAGCAGACTCAAACATGACCCCTATGTTTAATCTATCAAATGAGAAATTTCAGCAGAGATGGTGTTATGAATTGAATTGTGCATCCTGGCCAAACACATGCATTGAAGCCCTAAACCCAATGTGATTGCATTAGGAGACAGGTCCTTTAGGGAGGTAATCAAGGTTAAATGAGGTCATAAGGGTGAGGCCAGATCCCACAGGGCTAATGTCCTTATAAGAAGATGAAGAGACACCAGAGCATGCACTCTCTCTCTCTGTCTCTCTCTCTCCATATGTACACACAGAGGAAAGGCCAAGTGAGGACACAGTGATAAAGCAGCCATCTACAAGTCAGGAAAAGAGGCCTCACCAGACACCAGTCCCCACAGCCCCTTGATCTTGAACATCTAGCCTCCAGATCTGTGAGAAAATACATTTTTGTTGTTTTAGCCACTCAGTTTGTGGTATTTTGTTATGGCCACCTAAGCAGACTAATACACAGGAACTCTACTAAAAAATCAAATGGAAATTCAAGAAATAAAAAAACATGATAAGGGAGATAAAGAATACCTCTTTCAAACTCATAAGTAGACTTAAGACAACTGAATAGACAATCATTGAACTTGAAGATCAGCCCATAGAAATAACCCAAGCTTAAAAACAAAAAGAGTGGCAAAAAAATAACAGAATTCAAGAGTTAAGGGATAATATGAAACAATCTCACATATGTGTAATTTGAATCCCAGAAGAAGAGAGACAATAATGCAGGAGGAGTTTGTCAAGAAATAATGGTCAAGAGTTTTCAAAAATTCATGGCAGTCATCACAACATAGATGCAAGAAATTCAAAGATTTCTCAGAAGGATAAATTACTAAACAGATAGACAGACGGACACACACACACACACACACACACACACACACACACACACACACTCCCAGATACATTATATTCAAAGTGCTGATAAAAAAATGTTGAAGGCAGCCATCAGAGAAAAGAATCATTATTTCCACAGGAATAAAATTAAGATTTACCACAGACATTAAAAACCATGAAGGACAGAAAATAGTGGAGTCAGGTATTTAAAGTGCAGCTGAGAAAACAAAATTGCTATCTTAGAATTTTATACCCAATTAAAATATCTTTGGGTATAAAAGACATACTCTGCACAGACTTACTCTACACACAATATAAAAAGAAATTCTTCAGGGAGAAGGAATATGATACCAGATGAAACTTGGATGTACACACACACACAAAAGTCTTCAGGAAAATCCATTTTCCCAACTGCCTTAGCTATTGCACTGCTGAAAAGAATGCAGCCTTTGCATCTCAGCCCATAAGCTTCAGAGAGTGACCATCTCAGTCAGGGTCTTCAACAGGACTGGAAAGCAATCAAATCCTACAGTGCTGTTATCTTAGCACCTAGCATCCTTCCAAAGAGTGGCTGAAATGAATTGATGTCTCTTTTCAAAAAGTCATATACTGATATCTTACAAATTCGGTGATTGGAAGGAACTCCATAATAGGAATATGAATATCTGAGTGACAGTCTCTAATAACATTATTATTATGTTGCATATGAATAAGATGTCTTTATTGACCAAAAAACCCACTGAAGGAAAGGGTTCAAACAGACTTTCAAAATTAACTGGACTGGTCCAGTAAGCTACAGTGGACTGGTAGCCTCATTCTCAAGACAATTTCTTGTCCTTTGTTATGGTTCTTGTTAGACTGTCCTGAACTTCGTTAGTTGTCATTCCTTCCTGCTTTTGACAACAGCATATTTCAGAAAATTGTTAAAATTTCTATATTCCTATGATTCTATTTCTTTAAAGTATACTCTTCAAGTATTCTGTAGCTTATAATGAAATTTAAGATGTACTGTCAGATGACCAGGACAGAATGTGAGATTCATAGAATACAGGAGAGAGGACATATATTACATTCATATTTGAATTTGGAAGAAGTCTAATGATAACGGTACTCATCTAAAGAGGGCAACTACATTATGCAAAAATAATATTCCATAAACCATAAGACAAAATTAGTTTTATTATAAAAATACATATGCTTTGTATATGAGTCATATAGAATTGACACAACTGATAGAATTTACTATGCTGCATTGAAGTGAATACTTATTGCTTTCTTGCTGAATTTCTGATATTTTTGTTCCTTCATTTATATCTCCATTTGGAAACATTATTTCAATAAGATATTAGGAAGTAGAACATATTGTTTTGTAGTAATTTTGGTAATGCCTTTTAAAGCATCCCATCCAGGATAAGATGACTGTACAAGAACTACATGGCTACCATTACTATCACCTTGATCTAGGAAATCAGGAATTTATTTAGTGTTAGTAGGAAAACATAAGAAAGAAAGTCTTTCCCACCTGCCTACTAATTCAATTCAATTAAATAAACATTCATTTTATTTATTTTATTTCCATGCACTAGCTGTGCAAGATACGGGCAGGCAGCTTAACAGAAAAAAGAACAACGCGCTCACTTACTAATTTGATTCGATGACCAGGAGTTGCACTGATTTCCCATGTGCATTCTTTCCTGCTTGGGTACTTGTCTGGCCAGTTGGGACTAGTGATGAAGCCACTTGGACTGTGAATCTTCTGTTCACACTCAGCTGTGCCAATAATGATAAAATCAATTAGTGTGGAAATCTAGCCCAGAATTGGGCCAGCAAGGAAGTAGCCTGTTTACACACTATCCTGATGAAAGATTTTCCTCAATAACTAATCATCACTCTAGTCTCCAGTATCATATTCATCTGCTTTGGTAAACCTGTTGCATAATAATTATCATAATCAGAAAATGTTTATTTTTGGGTTCACATGAAATTGTGTTTACAATGAATTAAATAAATGTCTACAAGAAAATGAACACTTTTTAACTGCTGGATCTGTAAGTTTAGATTTTAACAGAGCAACATTATTGACAATCAAAGCTATCAACTCTTGGTATGTGCAAAATACTTAATGCAATGCCACAACAAAAATGACTATGTCGTTTTCAGTTATTTTCTTCCTATTAACAGAAACATCATTTATAGCTAACTAGTATCACTAAGCCACTTTATGAAACATGTCTTTACATTTTCTCTCTCTCTTTGTTAAAGTATACACTTGAATACTTAAACCATAATTTTAGCTGCTTAAGTAAATTATCTGTCATTTCATCACAGTGAAATGAAGCACTAAGGGGGAAAATATGTAAACAGCTACTAGCTTCTGAATTAATTTAAGGAAATGTCATTCAATTAACATGAAATTTCTTTTAGGTCTTACAATTTAAACAACTTCATCTTGGAGGGGACCATCCAATATTGTTAATTTCAAACTTCAAAAGCATGTAATATCCTCAGACTGTATTCTATCTATATAATTTATGAAGTGTCACCCTGCACATCCTGGCTTAGGCTGGAAATTATTTGTTATGTATTGTGTAACCCATTCTAAAATACAATTAATTCTGTGAAATTTTCCAAGAAATCTCTGGGGAAATCCTCTACTATATGGAAAAAACACTTGTGGCACTACAGGGCTGCATAGTAAGGACAAAATGACTGACATTACTGTGCTGTTGGCACATGCTCTCCGACTAGACCTTTGCTTTAACTGTGCCGGGTTTCCATAGGGAGATTTGGATTCTTAACCAAGGAACACAAAAAAAGGGTGAAATTTAGCTCCTTTCAAACAATATAGGGTCATGCAGCAAGACAGTAGTCTTAAAGTCTGGATCCTGTCTTGACAAGGTTTCCTAAATCCCATTATCCCTGTCCTTGCCTTGGCCATATGAAGTGTGGAATCTCCCAGATCTGGCAAATAGTTTAGTTTATAAGACAAAGCCAAGAGGCTCACTGCTAAACTGTATAAGGCACCTGTACTATAGCAGTGGTGAAAGAAAATCCATCCCCTTTACTAACAGTAAAGATGAACTTTATTAGGGGTGCCTGGATATAGTTCCATTTAAAAAGAAGTCCTTTCTTGAAAATATTTACTTTAATGAAGAGCGACTTTGGATATCTAAATTTATTTGCTACCTGTGAGTCACAGGCTACATGCATACTCTGAAAAGCTGTCTCTTTTTTATTTCTGAATTACCTTCCACATTTCAAAATAACTGGGCCTATTCCCCAGCCTATTGATTTATCAGAATACTTTACCAAGTTACACATATCACAATCTCATTGGTTTATGCTCATACATGAAAGTAAAAAGAGAAAAAAATCCTACTTGCATATGATTCTGGGCAATGTCATTAACTCTGTGAAATAAAGAGGAAAAAAATGTGACATATGACCATATTTGAATGGAACTGAATGGAACAAGGGTCAATTCAGGGTATTCTGTACTATTGGAATGTGAATACAAAGAAGTGCTATCTACCTGTGGTTCTAGTCAGGCACCCACCACTCTACATGTTCTAATGACTAGTTATGAAACCTGCCTTAGTAATAAATCCAAGTTAAATGGAAAATTCAGGAGCAGACCCACAAAGGAAGAAATAAGACCTGAATAACTATTTCTTGTTCCCATGTAGCTCATATTGGCTCAGGAGATTAAGATAATTATCTTTATAAAACCTTGGAAGATGGTAAGAATTTGGGACCAAAAACTGGTAGGCTAGGGCTTCCCTGGTGGCGCAGTGGTTGAGAGTCCGCCTGCCGATGCAGGGGACGCGGGTTCGTGCCCCGGTCTGGGGGGATCCCGCATGCTGCGGAGCGGCTGGGCCTGTGAGCTATGGCCGCTGAGCCTGCGTGTCCGGAGGCTGTGCTCCGCAACGGGAGAGGCCACAGCAGTGAGAGGCCCGCGTACCGCAAAAAAAAAAAAAAAACTGGTAGGCTAATATTGAGTTACTAGGATGCTTCTGTGTGTGTGTGTGCTGGGGAGGGGGCAAAACCATGACTTAAAACTCTAAATGGCACAGTATTTTCAAATGTCTTTCTTCTGGTAGGCATTTGAATTTGATACTCCTGGTATTTAAAGTGACATCACTCATGTAGCACATATATGAGATATTTTGGGGAGGGAAATTGAACCAAATGTAAAACATTTAGCAGAAGTTAAGTTTAAATATGGAGATAGTTATAAGGTCTGTTCTGTGAAGACTGAGGGATAATGTAGTGCCTTTCTGGCTGCCAGATGGCATCACAGCAGCTTCTATGTCTGTTATACAAAGTTATTCTAATTCCAACCATATATGAAGTGCAGTACCTTTAGGTAATACAAGGTTTCCAATAGTATGACTTGGATCTTTGAACACTGCATGTATTTTTATTTTTGACATTTGAACAGTTAACATTTAACACTCATTGATATGATTAACTCTACCTGGAAGGACTGCTTTACCCAAACTGCATGAAATTCTAGATGTTGTCAAAAAAAGAACACTTCTTTCATACCTTCCTTGCAATCATGTTTATTTTCATGCAGCACAAATCCATTACGGCACTGACACATGTAGCTTCCCATTGTGTTGACACACTCATGTTGGCACCCGCCATTATCCTTAGAGCACTCATCTTTGTCTAGCAAAGAGATAACCCCATAGATTAGTAAGTAGCTTTAAAAACAAAGGATATCAAAGGAGAGTCATTTAGTTGTGGTTAACACTGGCAAAGGGTAAACTAAGTCACAGCTTTCCGTGTTCTCAACATAAAACAAACAAAAAAAAATCAAAAAATTTAGTGTCTTAGTTCTACCCACTCCTTCTTTAGCTTGGAGCCTTGTGCCATGAATTGTTTCCAAGATCATTTGCACCAGGGTGACAACATGTAGTCCTCTTTCATTCCTATGCTAGAGAAGTTTTGAGTAGGGTAAAGGAAATGAAAGAATATTTTTCCAACTAATCCTAAACATTTATAGCCAATTTTTAAAATAAATAAAAAATTGTGAGTAGTTTGATTAAATGCAAATCATGGCATTTAAGTGGAGGGAAATCCTTCACTATATTAACCATGGTGTATAGGCAGAGGCTAAACACATTTCCAAGATTTGTGTGTAATCGTTTTTTAAAAATCACTCAGTATAATTACTTTAGTTGATTTTTTTCATTAACTTTGCAGTTATGCTTAGCATTAATAAATCTGAACATTTTATAATATTTCAAGACAGAATAAGGCATCATTAGACTATCTTAAAAAAGAAACAATTTATATATTTTAAACTAATCTCCTCTAGCAGACCAGTTTATTAATAAGTAAAAAGGCTTTTAGTGTGCTAGAAGTAAAGGTCAGAATAGGAAATACGAGCTTTAAGAAATTGACAACAAATTCACTACAGGGAAAAAATCCCAACTATATTAGCAGACAGTCAATTCAGTGAGAGGCATCAGCCACCATATTATGTTGCTTAGCTATCATTCCATGACTGGCTTGTCCTTTAAAGTAAATACTGGCCTCTGCTCCTGACACATACATATGATGACACATCACTCAGACCTTCCCCACCCCCATAGCACAGAAAACAAAAAGGACGCACGACAGTCACATCAAAGGTCAGGCTGAATTCAAAATTTATACTGTGAACTGATTTTTCTAGTGAGAATTTGTGAGCTCATGGTGGCACACAAATAGCAAATGTTATTTTTGCCTTTGTAATCAAATCAATATTCCCCCTATGGAGATGGGTTTAGGAAAGACATTTTTATCCAAGGATCTGATAGTAATTTTTATGAATGCAACTATTTTTTCCGATTTTGTAGACTGATAACACGACATAGCACATATATGCTATGTCTTATATTGCCAATTCATGCATTGGCAATATAAGAATATTCTATATACATACAGGCAGTCCCAAAGTTCTAAAGAATATATCAGGATCAATATATCTGCAATTTATGTGTTCTCTACCTATCCTTAACACTTCCATTACACTTTTAATACTTACTATGGAGGCTAAGCAGAGGAGAAAAAAAGCATAGAATAAAGAAAATTTATCTCTAAGAGAACATCAAACATCAAAATATATAAGAAATCAGAAATTAATAGAGAATTAGCCTTGTAAAATTAATTTTAGAGAAATTCATAATTTGGAAGTCCCATTACCTTAATTGTATCAACAGTGAAAATTACATGTGGTAAGTTGTGAATGACCTGTGCAGAATGGGTGAATACTGAACCATACTTCCTACTACCATGCTGTCAGCTACCTGCATTTCCTTTCAGACAGTCAAGCAGTAGATGATTTAAATTTACTATTTTAACACACCTTTCTAGGGGCTCTTAAGATGCTTTGGAAAAATACTTCTTCATGAGTTGATGCAGAAATACACTTCATCATTGTTAAAAGGAAAGAGCCAATTTAAAAATTTCTGGTGCTAGAATTACTCTGAAATAGACACATATTTCCTATAAAAATATTTATCTAATGTTTGCTTGGTATACTTAAAACCTGATATAGTGAACTTTAGTTGTACTCTAGGTCAACCAGATTTTTGAGGGTTGTTTGGAAATCTAAGAATTGTAAGTAAAGTAATTTAGAAAAAATTAGTTCACATTTGCAATTGACTGGTAAACAGGTTGCTCAGTGACAAACCTATCAGGGCAGCGACTGCCTGAGTCATCCTTTCATTTGGATCTGTTTAGACTACCATACATGAGAGATATAAAAATGTTAAAAGAAAGAACACAAGTTAGTATTGCTGAATTTTTAAACCTACAGTCATTTTATAATGAAAACAATTCCAAAACATAAAATATTTCTAACATTTAAACTTCATTCTAGTGGAAATCTCATGTTGCTAGGTGATATTTGTAAGGAGAGTTATTTTCTTTAGATCTGATAGAACATAATCTGACTTGCAGTAATAGTAAGTAAAGAGAAATAAAGTTGAAAGTGAAACCATTCATATTTGAATAGTAGTTTTTTGTAGCCAGTTTTTCCTATTTCTATTGTGCTGGAAAAATAATTTTTAGAGGAAGAAGAATAAAATGAGGAAGAAGAGGAGGAGGAGCATGAAGATTTTATATAGTCATATTGTCTAAGTATCTATTATTTTTCAGTGTTCCAGTTGATAAATGTTTCCTGTCTTCTTCCCTGCATCAAACATTTCTTAATACAAGTGATGTCACATTAAAATTGAGTTATCAAATACACTGCTAGAATATATGTATAGGTTAATCTAAAGCTTAGCTAAAATTCAAAATTGGACAAATCAAAATAGAAATTAAAAGCAGCAGATAAAAGTCATCATCCCCAGCAAAGTAGCATTTAAAATTGTGCTGGCATATGCCAAATAGACAATATGAAAAGACAAAATTTTAGTAAACATTGGAATACTTGGAATTATCCAGACTTTTTAATATCACACAAACAAAGAAAGCTGTTTATTTAACTTAATATCATAAAAGATGAGTTCCACAAATATATTCTGAACTTATTATAAAAGGTCATCAAACTTGAGGAAAAAAAAAAACTATTAGCAAATATAATTCTGTTTTCACTTTCTTTCCTTTTCTCCTCTTAGGACACAAACTACTAATATTTTGAACAATGAAAATCCAAAGAAAGAGAGAAGGAAGGAGGTTGCAGAGTTTTAAAAATTTCTCAGAAAGTCTGCATAACAAATTCAATAATTGAGAATTCTATCAATGATTCATTTGAAATTTTCTAACATTTTCATACTATAAGCATGGAATTTAAAAAATAGTTTTTATTAGTAAGAGAAACAAACATTTTATTGAGTAGAAATCAAAACATTTAATCTTTGCAGGTGGAAATTAGCCTCCTTCTTTGGAATGGACATATCTGATTTCCATTCCTTCATGCTAGATGAAGGAAAGGTCCATTATTATGGAAAAAGGAAGTGGCATTTTCCCATCAGAGGCCTGCAGAGTATCCTTGAGACTGTCAGAGGCCATTAGTCTATGAATAATACATACTGGATGGGACTGAAGTGGCAACCTGTATCAAGTTCTTGCAAGATTCAAAAATAAAAATTTTCTCTTTGCAGAAAGCTTCCTTGTCTGTAGGAAAAAGAAGTAAAGGGTCCACGCACCAGAACAGAAACACATGAGCAGATATACTTACAATAAATGCTCAAATATAAAATAAACAGATCACACACATTCATGCATACACACATACACCCCATGCATGTGTGCACGCATACAAGACACACACAGATTTCAACATAAAACTGTTGAAAAAATAATCACCTTCAAAAGACCTCTGATAAGCTCTACTGAGAGCAACGACAGACAATTTGATCTTTCTAAAACATGCAAATATTTAAATATCATTTATCATGAAACTTGGAACAGGATTCAGAATCATAGGAGAGCTCTATATGAAATTAATCACACTAATATTTAATGTTTTGTTAGAATAATGTCAGGTTGAATTTATTCTAAAAATACCTATGACCATTCCATGAAAGAAATGGTGTACAGGAGGAACAATGTAAAGAAATATCTATAAACACTGAAAGGTAGATAAGACGAGGAGCAGGTCAGTTGAAATCACTTGAATACAGAGGTAGAAATATCACACAAATCATTTTATCTGACTCCTATATTTGTTACAGACAGAAATAAACTGGGAATCAAGAAATCTGGGTTTTACTGCATTTCTGCTACTGTGCAGGTCACTGGGTCCATCAGGAAAGGATCACGTTCCCATTAAGTTACCCGTGAGGGGGACTGCCATTTAATGAGGTTATCCTTCAAGTCATCATTGAGTCTTTTCACCACTACCAGGTTGCCTAAAGAAGGTGGAATGTCTATGCACAGCTCTCACTGCCTGAAGTTATTTGTTACATTATTCCCAAATAATGAACAGTGTGATTAAATTAAAAGTCCAGTTTCCCAAATGTTGCTGCTTTTACATGCATAAAATCCTACTAATATTTCCTTTAAGTTTAACCTATATAAAGAAAAATAATTTTGTTCTGAGTAGAATACAGTTAATTTTGCTTAATCACTTAAAATAAGTAAACTATATCATGTATACTTATGCAGATTTGTATACTTGTGTTAAAATATAACATCACATAAAATTAAGTTTGGTTTTACTATCATAAAAGTAAAGTAATTATTGTTAATCTATAAACAAACCTCATTCATTCCAAGAAAATAGCAGTATTATATTGTTGAACCAGATCTCTTCTAGAAAATGCCTATGCCATTATATTCTGAATTACATAAAAAATTTAATAGACATGTAATTTTACATCATGTTCAAATAGCCTTACTTTTATAGTTGTAATTTCCTTATTTACTTTCATATTATTTCATTATATTGCTTTATAACATACCCTTAATATCAGAACTATATGACACTAATTTTTATAGAGGAGCTTGTGGATATTCTGCTGTATAAACCAATCACTTCTAGATTTTCAAGCTACAGCATTTTTCATGACTAATTTAAGACACTAAATAAGAATTTATGTGATGGTTTCTTGCTTTGATGTGCATGGAAGTGACAGAAATCTGTATTAATTATTTTGCTAATAAGTTCTTAGTGTCATTCTTCCAATTCCATTTCTTAGGTCTATAAAGTGCTTATTTAAAATCAGAGGCTATGTGCAAAAATAAGTAAAATCTCAGTATGATTATTTCATTAAATAATTGTAGTTTTTAAAATAATGCTAAAGTTTATTTCATTATATTCATTAAAAATCTAAATACATTTCCTTGTGTTTTTTCTTCCTTGATGTATCACTTAGTTGCAAGACAGCTAGAAGTTATTTTTAAATAGCTTTCCTTTACAAAATATATGAAATCACTTATAATAAATATTGTTTCTTTTTAAATTGAATTTCTTGATAATATTTCTGAGACAAAGTATGCTGAAAAAATAGCTAAACATGGTATATTTCTCATTATGTTTTCATAAATTCATAATCACTTCTAAACTTTTTAGAAAACTGGCTATAAACAGAACCACTTAAGATTAAGTCTCCAGACAGGGTGAGAGGGAGACACAGGAGGGAGGAGATATTGGGATATATGTATATGTATAGCTGATTCACTTTGTTATACAGCAGAAACTAACACACCATTGTAAAGCAATTATACTCCAATAAAGATGTTAAAAAAAAAGTTTGTCTCCATCAAATGTTTCTGGATTAACATACACAATACAGCAAACATTTATTCAATTGTCTATATTATAAATTAACTATAAAAATAAAAATTAGAAGCTTTAACTCATTCAAAACATTTGCATTAATATTATTAATTTGTATTAATATTTATTAACTAATTAACAAATAGGTGGATTTAAAAATTTCACTCTCAAAGATCAAAGTCTATTAAGTAATGTTTTCAAATCTAGAAAATATTTGGGGTAAAAGATAGGTAGAAATATGATGTGTGTTTTCCTTTTAAAGTTATTTTTATATTTAAATCAGATGAAAACTGAGAAAAATTGTGGAGAAACTACACTGCACTATCTTTTCACCTTAACACAAACATTCTTGGGATTTTTAAATAGCATCGTTCAGATCTGTTCCCACCCACGTGCTTAGCTGTATGCAGAGTGCACATATAGCTTTATATCTATATTTCCATTAATATTTTATCATATACAACTTTTTACACCATGAAATCATTAAACCACCCTTACGGTATGGAAGAGCTCACACAGTGCATTTGAAGGTTGTTTAAAATTTCTGTCACTATCACAGTATATTGAAAATCCTTCTTCCAGATTTTGAAATATTTCTTTATGAAAGAGTCCCAAGAATTGAATTTCTGAGCAAACAGTTTAGTCATTGTAATAATTCTTGATTCCTATGCTAAATTTATTTCTAAAGAATTTGTCACAATTAATGCAGTAATGTGTCTTATCAAATCCCCAAGAGTGAATTTTAACATAAAATAATCCTTCAATTTTCTTTGTGAAATACAATATCTCCATGATTTACATGCTTACTTTCTAATAGATACGATGAGTTATTTGACTTTTAACACACAATTACACTTATAGCATTATTAGAACTCTAAAATAATATTTTCAATGTGAACAGAATCTATATATTATAATGGGTGATCTTTTGTAAATTATGTTTTGGTAAGATGATCATAATCAGGACATTAAGTAACACTGCCATCTCTTCATTGTACAAAACAAATATGTTTTTATCTTCCCTTTTCCTGAGCAAACATCTTCCCCACTAGCAGAAACTCCCAAGAATTTAAATGTAAAATAGATCTAATTAATTATCCAGGACTATAATATTTTAAATATGAATCTGACAAACTGCCAAGACTTTTCAATGAATCAAAAAGAAAACACTGAATGTTTATACTTAATTATCTTGGACTTTACAAAATAATAATCTAATAAAGAAGTTAAAAGTATATCTATTTTTTTCCAGGTCACAGATATGTTGAACATAACACATAACTAATGCTATTTGCAAAGGATGTGATCATCCCTTATGGTTAAGAGAACAGAACCCAAGATGAACTGGGGTTAAATACTTTGTGACACTGAACACTTAGAATATTACAGTTTTACTTTGATTATTAAAGACATAATGTATGCCTGCATAATAAGTTCTCAGAATGATAGCTACAACACGAGAGTTTGGGGTTTAATTTTCCCTGAACTTCATTGTTCAGTTTACTTAACAATATTATTGTCCTAAAGACACAGACTAATAACCTGTCTTTAGAATTTAGGAAGTTTTGCCTGAACAGAAATATCAGATAACAAATTTTAAATACTCTGGGGAACTTTAAATTTACTTATACTTTGTCACCAGTATATGTAGCATGTATCTTTTAAAAAAAGTTTTATTAAATAAAATGAGTGATTAAAGTATAGGATCCTGAATATTAATAATATAATAAAACCTATTCACCTTATAATTTTAATTTTTAAAATAAATATTTAGGTGGTTCTAAGATAAGAAGCCTTATCTCTAAACACTGGATCACCTAAAATTTGTAAACTGCATAATATTTATAGAATAGTAAAGTCTAAGGAAGTCTTCCTTTCATTAAAATAGTATATTAAAATGCTACTTTGAATAACAAATCTTAAATGAATGCCTGAGAATAATTTTTATTATTTATTTATTTATTTATATTGAGGTATAGTTGATTTACAATGTTGTATTAGTTTCAAGTAAACAACATTGTGATTCAATATTTTTATAGATTATACTCCATTTAAAGTTATTATAAAATATTGGCTATATTCCCTGTACATTACATCCTTGCAGCTTATTTATTTTATACATAATAGTTTTTACCTCTTAATCTCCTCCCCTTATCTTGCCTCTCTCCCCCTTCCCTCTCCTTACTGATAACCACTAGTTTGTTTTCTATATCTGAGAAGAACTTTTAAAAGGCAATTAAATCTGAGGGAAGGAAGGGAATGAGAACAAGGGAGCCAAGATCCATTGTATTTTAAATGTACTTTCCTATATGACTTGGACCTCAATGGAACTTGTGAACCATTAATTTCAATTACACTGAAAGCCCCAAACAAACCCCAGGCACTGTAAATCTCATTAATCTTAAATACATGGGGACTGGAATAAATAGACTTTGAATTAACTCAATCTAAATTACCTGATATTAAAATATAATTGGAATTCAGTTGCTTTACATTGCTTGCCAGTCTTTCAGGCAGAATAGATTGCTATATCTAGCAAGGCTTATTACAATTTTATCTAATTTTGAAGTTTCAGAGTAATATTTTTAAAAGGAACAATTTTGAAATTGGGAAAATAAGGGCATTTCACTGATGTTTCTATCTAGTTTCTTAAAATTTAGGGACCTTTAATCAAACTTCAGCTCTTTAAGAGGGAATTTTCAATGTGAGTTGGTTCAACTAAACATTAAATTCCAAATGTAGACATGTCAACTGCTAAATGTATCCAATAATATATTATTTTTATTAAAATTATAATTTCCATATTTCTAGGTCTCTTACTGCAATCATTTCTATAATGATGAGGTAAAGTATGATTTTTAACATCTGCTTAATAAAAAGAATGAATATATAATAGTAAGAAGAGGAATAATAAACATGTTGCTAAGCAGTAAGAATAAAAAATATGTTGCTAAAATGAGACCACATATTCCAAAGACAAAGATAATTTTGAAAAAGTCTGCCACTTTTTGGAAGTCTGGTATCATTATCGCTATCTACTTATAAAGTCACTGTGTGAAAATATTACCATAATAATTTTGTGTTATTTTTACTAGCCTTTGAAATATTTGATTAGAATTTATGTAAGATCTAAGTGTTTGAGAGGTGCATTTCATCAGGGCCATTCTTGTTAATATCCCAATTTTAAAAAAGTATTAAACTAGGATAAATGTTCATGCATTCTATGTATCTCCAAGTTCATTTACAGAAAACTGGGAAGAATGGATAGCATACAATTTAAGCCAATCCACCTTTAAAATCTGTAATATACACATGTAGCATGAGAATACTGATACCTGAGAAGAAATGTGCTTTGAAACCCTTCTTGGATACAGTATTGTCAGATTTGAATTCAATTCTCATATTGTTGAACTGAGATGTGATCACTTCAGGCACTTCAGCACCACAAAATTTGCCATGCAATTTAGACTCAGAAGAAAGACCACTCCAAATCTCCACATAATCGTATTTGCAAACCTAGAAATAAACATGGTTACTGTAATTACCAGATTTGAGAGCATCAGATGATTGACATTTACTTTTTTTTAATTTACTGTGTTTTTCCCTCTTTACTCCTGTGGTAGTCAAACTGGACTTAACAGGTCCAAAAATCAAGAAAAGTGTCCAAATATGAAGCAGAAGGCATGATAGACAGATGAGAGAATTTTGCTCCGAATAGCCCCAAGAGATGTATATACAAATGTATGCTTGTATATATGTATTTACAGCATACATATTTTCCAAAAAATACAGACTTAAGGAAAACTGCGATGAATAATTGTTTAACAAAGCATATGATTGAACTCTGGGCATGATGCGTACTTTGCAATATGTCAACTCAAATTACTGGCTCTTGTGATATTAATTAGGTGATAAATAAGCAAAATGTTGCTAGGAAAAATGAAATAAGTTTTCTATCTACTTTGTTACAACTGCAACTTTTATTTAGAGAGGGCTCTGACACAAGATGGGATAATGTTACCGAAGCTAAAGTTGTTTGATATTGATTTTCCTTTTAGATATCAGTAAAATGAATAAAACAATGAAGTTATAACTTAACCCAGTATTCTATAAGTCAAGATTTTGCTCATGATTTTATTTTAAATATTCAAGACTTTAAACTATGAAAATGCACAGAATTTTATTAATAGGATTCCACACAGTAACCTCATCATAAGTTTAAGAATTCCAGGATATGTTACAGAGTTTGTAAAGGCTCCTTCCATGAATAAAGACTGCTACCATGAGAAAAATGCTTTCAAGCACAATGCCCCATTTATTTTAAACCATCTACCCTTCTTCCTCGTAAACATAAACGTTTATCCTTCTTAGGAACATCTATCAATTAGTGAATCAAAATGCCATTCTGCCACAACCAACAGCTTTAGGTAAACTGAGAAAGTAGAAGCCATTCAATACTAAGCTCACATTACATTGAAGAACTGGCAGGGAGATTCCCATTTTCAAAATGTGTTGCTCATATGAAAGCTGTTCTAAGATTACTATAAAAATACATTCTTAATTTTAATATTTCCCCAAATTTAAGATAATTATTAAAGAAAAATGATGTTTTATGTGGATAAATTATGTAAGAAATATAAATTGCAGTCTTTCCCATCATAAAGCTTACATGATGTAAAGAAGATCTCAAAATGAGCTCTAAAATTGTACAATTCTCTGAAATATCAGTGCATTACACTTCATATTTTAATTTTCTTTAAGCAACACAAAAGTCTGCACTTCTTTTTAACTCAAAACCATAGAAATGCCTTGACTACTACAAATAGAATTTTTAAAAAATGATTAAAAGAAAGAAGGATAAGTGGGAGGGGAAAAAAGAAGAAGCAAAGATACATACACAAAGACAAAATTACGGTATAAAACCCACAAATATTACCAACAATTATTGTCCAGGAGCACAGATACATTATATTTCTGTTCTCTCAGTTCTCTGTGAGTGTTCAACAGATATACATCAAAGACAAAATAATTTTTGAGTGAATTTTATCACACTTTTGGATCTCATTCATTTTAAAATAAACACAGGAAAAAAAAGTTGTTGGGAGTAAGGATGTGGGAGTTAGAGAAAAGAAAAGAAAGTAGAAAAGCTGAAATAGAACAAACGTTTATTACATTTTCTCTGGACTTAATGTTGACCGATCACACAAGACACAGTTCTAAAAGTTGTCATCTCTAGGCCTGACATTCCATTTGAATTTGGTGTGTATGTACCAGCACATAGGAATTCTCAAATAAATGATTTCATTTGTTTAAAAGTGATCACCAGACAGAAAACTGGACGTTTACTATGGTAAGCTATAAAGTCAAAGGGAAGATAGTGTCAACTAAATACATGTTTTATTGAGGTTAAAAATTATTTCTTTCTTCTTCTCTATCTTTCTCACTTTATCTGTGAACCATAAGCATACTCATAATGAAAAACTACTTATATAATGAAAATATACCCATTTCCACAAGTGAAATATACCAGGTTTTCCCAAAAAGGTATTTTCGTTATGACTCAACAAGTGAATTTTGGTTTATTTTTTCTAGAAAAATCTATGTGACATTACCCTAATATTTTCGTAGTACTTTAGTAAATCAGCAAAATGCTGGGGGGTAATTTTCAATCTCCCAGAGACAGTCTAAAATATCATCCAATGCCAGCAGGAATTATAAGCAGTTGCAGAAATGAGAAATAGAGCAAAGAAAGACTACAGCATTTATACTATTGTACTACTGCAATTTTCCTTCCTCCCTTCCTTTTTTCCTTCCTTCCTTCCTCCCTCCCTTCCTTCTTCCTTCCTTTCTTTCTTTCTTCTTCTCTCTCTCTCTCTTTTTTTTTTAGTTTACCAGATTGTCTTTAGGGATTCCTAAAACACTTTATAAAAAAATATATTTATTATTCACTTACTTCATTGCCCTCCAATTCAAAAAACTCAAACTTCATAGAAATTCTGTACTGTGTTGGTGCCACCACTTGCCACACGCAGTGTTTGTTGGGAGGGTACTCCTTGGGCCAGCCTGGAGTGGTTATGGTGCCATTCAGTTTTGTAAGAAGTCCTCCGCAAGCCGCTAAAAAGAAAGAAAAGGGAAAGGTTTCCCCTAATAAATCTACCCCCTTCTTAGCACCTTTCCATTGATAATCCAACATCTCAGTATTAAATTTCAACCATCTTCTGGATTTTTCGAAATCTAGAAAGCTGCAGTCTCTATTCCTTAATCTTTAGTACAACTATTTTAATCATCTAATCCAATTTATAAAATGTTATTTTGTAGATATGGAGCGAAGAAAATGATGGCTTTACACTTTAGATCGCTTCAAAGTTGGGCGAGCAATATAAAGAAACCTGGGGGTCAGATTTCTTATATTTTAAGTGTGTATAATAATACCTACACCACACGATTGTTGTGAGAATTAATAAAAAGGTATAGGTAAAGTACAATACAGCATGATGTATTAAGACCAAAATCAATTGTTTATTTCCCCAAACTCTTTTTTTTTTTTCCAAGACAAGGAAGGAGTTACTTGAGCTAGAAGGCAAGGTAAACTATAGTAAATAGAGCATATTTGTTATTGCAAAAACTCCATTTAGCAACTGGTTTTCTTTCTCTTTTGGATGATCTATTTAAAAGAGGTACTATTTATGTTACCTCTCTTTTTTATTGATAGTGAAATTAGGAAAGTTAGGGTTTCAAAAGCAAGTTAAGTGAAATGAACATATTGTACACAGTTCCTAATTAATTCCTAGGGAGTCAAGAGTTAGCTAAAGTAACTGGTCTCTTGAATTGCCTTTGAATATATAGGCATATGTATGTATATGTGGATATGTATGTTAACTAATATAAATATTACTATATTTATAAACATATTTTTTAAACTACCTGTAATCTCAGGTTTATCATATTTGGTAAGTTTCTAAAGTGTATTTATTTTTAGTAGTCATGTGGAAATAACAGCCACATAACTTCATTATTATCTGGAATACAATGTCCTGTGTTTTAAAGATACTGTATTTTCTTCATAACTGTGTCTATTTTATTCTAGTATAAGAGGGAGGCATAAAAAGAGAAGGAGAATGAGACTACATGATAGAAGGAAATGGGTAGGGGTTTCAGGCAGGGAACCCCACGTGCAAATCTGGTCCCACCTTCGCAGGTCCTTTTGTCAGGTCCCAGCTCATAGCCAGGCTCGCAGGAGCACTGGTAACTGCCCAGTGTGTTCAGACAACGCTGCTCACAGCCTCCACGGTCAGGCTTGGCACACTCGTCTTCCTCTATAAAAATGGCGACAATTAGACAATTGATTTCTTCAACGAAGGAACAGGAACAATTTGCAAGGCCTTGACTGATGACATAGAAGAACCCATGTCACTGCAATCTAAGAATTGTGTAAGAACCAGAAGGACTGGTCCAACTGAAGATCACCTCATCTCAGACACAGTATGTTTTTTTCTGACTTTAAAGTTAAAGAGGATTATTAAAACCTAGAGATTTTTCAGAATGGAATAGAAAAACTTACTGAAAAAACATGGATTCACCTGTTCATTTCATTGTATAGTTTGCTAGGTAGCCTGAAGAAATGCTTTTAAAGTAATATCATTATTAAGAAATAAAATATGGTGACTAAAAATTAAAAAGAAGGAAAACTATGAAACTTAATAGACCTCTTTAAATTGAAAACATTCACTGTTTTTTATATAGATATGTTGATCCAGAAAATACAATAATTCCAGATTTTTGTAAACAGAAACTATTTTAATTGTATATGGTAACATGAAAATATATATGAAATAGACATATGAAAAATATATACTGTTTAAAAAACACATATTACAAGGTACTCCATAATCTCACTCTTTAGGAATAACCTACTGTGAGTTAGGAAAACAGCAAACAATATTCTCTGGAGAAATTATGCATCATCCAAAGACTAGGCATTTTGTTAAGCAAATACACAAACATCACGAGAGAGACTCTTATAATATGTTTCTTCTACTGTAAAATATAACATAGAGAAGATTTAAACCATGTAAATGAACAATTTAATGAATACTTGGAATACATATAGTAGAAGTGCCAAGGTTCTTTGCCTTTCAGTTCAAATGGTGAGCATCTAAGTAATGCTCAGGAAAAATCAATTATATTATTGCTCTTTGAATAATGAAAATATCTAGATATTATTCACACTAAATTTTGACATACACTACTGAATCCATCACTTATTCTTTAAAAATTATTATAGAGAAAATTTATTTTCTCTTCACATAAAAGAATTTTATTCTATAATAACACACTTAACCTAAGTGCCTATGAATTTTCAAAATACAAATCTGATGTTATTATTTGCACTAAAATAGCTTTCTTTTTACCTGAGGAATACACACCAAACATGGGACATGAAAATAAACTAAAATTTGCTTATACAATTCAAAATTAAAGCTGATCAGCAATAATGTCAAAAAGACATTTTAGGGATCAGAATGTTCTACTAAGGAGGCCATACATTATTTCTAATGTGACAGAATTCTATTCTCTAAGGGATGGTTTAGATGCTGCCACCTGGAAATAAATTGATAAACTATATATCAGTAATCCCCTTCTGGTTATGAACCCTTTGTTGATTACATTGCAAATATTTTCCTCTTGTCTGTATATTTCTGGATTTTGACTATTTCCTAAAAAACAGGTGGTAGAATATCCTAATGGAGTTCCTACCCTGTGCTACAAATCTCCAAATTCCAGTTTTATAACCAGTAAACTATTCCATCAAAAACCATCAAAATATCTTTATGAATAGTGCATACGTCAATCTTCAATATTACTTTATTTCTCCCCTAACTCAAAGATAAATACCACATTTATCCTTGACAGAGAAAATCTTCCACTTTAAATGATTTCAAGTTACCTTTAAAAAAATTGGCAGCGAACCCTGCTTTGTTCACAGTTCCATCAGAAACAAACTTCATCCACAAGGTATTGGAGGTAGATCTGATATCTTCAGGTTTATCATAACCACAAAAACGCCCTATTAAAGGACTATTTTCACTGGTTCCATCTCGAACTTCTAGGTAGTCATAGGCACAGTTGTCATGTCTCTCAATCTGTAATAGTAAAAATATGTGATCTATCTCATTAATAGACAAAACAATTTCTATAAAAAAGTATCATGTATTCTCAGTGCCATAGTACTACCATGGCCATATTACTTATATCAAAAGAGAGCATTTCTGTTGAGTGTGTATGGTAATATCTACACTGTCCATGAATAAAGGATGTATTATTCTGGTAGAGAGACAGAGGAATAAAATCTATGAAAAAGTGCATCTACATGCACTAGGATCAATAGAAGTTAACTGCCTTTTAAAATAAAATAAAAATACAAGTAGTAATTCTTTGGAAAATAGAATTTAAGAGAATCCAGACTAATAATTATCATTAGAAATCTGGGCTAGATATGCTATAAACAATGCATAATTTGTTCTGAAACATAGTTATAAAAATTGCTCATAGTTGATCAAAAAATCATTATTTTTTCAATAGAGTGGCTGAATTCATATTATTGACGAATGTTGCACTATTTTAGGTTATACATATCTTTTTGAAGCAAAATCTGATAACATGGGGATTACATTTCTTCCTAGTCTATGAAATCCTTTATCCATAGTTAGCATAGCTTTGTGTGGGAAGACTACTCCATTGTAGAACTAGCACTGGCTGCCCCTCTCAGGGTAACAGGCATGTTTAGATGAGACTTTTACCTTAACACATTATTCTTGACCTGTGCACCCTGGATGTACTCAATCTCTTTCCTAAACAACTAAATGCAAATACTAGCTCAGACTATTGGCTTTATGAAGAAGTGAATGTTCGTAGACCTTTGTTTTAGCTCTAAACTTCTACAAAAAACAAAACAAAATTTACAAATTGTTTTATAAATTGTAAGACAATTTCTAAATAAATTCTTGCTTTTGTTTTTTTCATAGAAAATGGGCCCTAACTCTGAAGTCTTAATAGAGTCAACTACTTATTAGGTATTTGAAGCCGGAAAGCACTGACATCTATAATTATAAACCATGAAAAGTATCACATGTTGTCAACCAACATTCAACATACAATTCACTAATTTATGGAATTCTCCTATTACAGAATGAATGTCAGGGAACACATTCATTCTATGAACTACAACCTGTATGCATGAAACTTCTGGTATAGTTGGTTGAGGAAGTCATTTCCTGATTTGTCAATACATTAACAATGATAGTCTTCAAATTAGGCAGCATAAGGACAAACAGAAAAAAATAGATTTTGAAGCAGATTTGGTTAGAACTAAGTACTGCATTTGCTGCTGCCCTTTTCCCAATCACAAATCAGGATTCATTTATTTCTTCAATAAATATTCAGTGCTGGTTCTGTTCTGTGCACTCTTCTCACTGCTTAGTATGCATCATTCATCAAAATAACAGAGCCTCGCCCTGCTGGAGCTTATACTGGTGGGTAGAGAGCAAAGGAACAATAAACAAGGTAAATAATAATCATAAAATATTAGAAAATAATACATTCTATGGAAGAATACAAAGTGAAACAAGATAGGAAGTATGAGCAGTGGGGGTGGTGGGATTGAAGGTTGCAATTTTACTATCAGTAGGAGCTCATTGTGACTCATAAATCCAGATTTTTCCCTAAAAATGTATTCTCTTCGTGTGTGGAATTATGGGAAAGAATTGGAAAATATTTAACATTAAAAATATCTCATTATTTAAAGCATACTTTTGAGACAGTAGCTGTTAAATAGAGAGGTGAGGGAGAGCTAGCAGTCTCACTAGGAACAAAATTAGTCACTGGGGTGACAAGGCCAATCTGACCAGCTATAACACACCTTCTTCTCTCAGTCTTTAATACAGTCCCTTCAAAATCAGAGTTCTCTATAAATATGAGAACATTTCCAGATGGCCAAAGTCTATTCATTGGTTAAGGGGACATATAAAATAACATCTAAAACTCTCAGGGTGTACAACTTGATAAAAGGGTAAGCAAAACTGAACAAACAACAAAACTGTAGGAAAAATAACCGAAGGTCTCAGCAAGTCAACCTATCTATCTTCACCTGCTTGAGCAGCACAGAATGAAATGCTTGCAACTCATGAATTATTTTGGAAAGGGGGAAAAGGCTAAGTTAGAAGAGGAAAGGGAGTGAGAACACACAATGAAGAAAGTAGCTGCTTGCCATGGAAAGTTAATTAATAGAAAAAAAATCACGTTGCTTCATATCAACAGCCATACCAGAGTAAAAAATAAGAAGGTTAATTAAAATGGGTTTTTAATTACTATTTATGAAGAAATTACTGCTTTTGAAAATTACAGTACGAAGAAAACGAGAGACACTGTTGAAAAAAATTACATATGATCAGTAATTAAAAGGATATAGGGGCTTCCCTGGTGGCGCAGTGGTTGAGAGTCCGCCTGCCAATGCAGGGGACACAGGTTTGTGCCCCGGTCTGGGAAGATCCCACATGCCGCAGAGCAGCTAGGCCTGTGAGCCATGGCCGCTGAGCCTGCGCGTCCGGAGCCTGTGCTCCGCAACGGGAGAAGCCACAACAGTGAGAGGCCGCGTACCACAAAAAAAAAAAAAAAAAAAGGATATAGGATAGTGGGTATTTCCCTGTATATAAAACTCACTCTGTTCCTTTAACAGTTAAACAATACTCTTTAAATTTTAATTTATAGTATATTCACTGGTTACGTTGTAAAAATTAGAGCTTTAAATATTTTATATGATACACAAAGTGTAAATATCTCATGGGTAAAATGAATAAAAATGACCAATTTTAGGATTATTTCACCAGTACCTATTTATGAATTACATATTACTTATATATTAAGTATTATGCACCTGGTATTAGGGATAAAACAATAGAAATATACACTGTAGTCTCACACAGTAAATGCCATGGTTGTTGACCTACATATCATATCAATGACCTCCATAATCTTTGTTTACATGTTTTTCCAGTTTAATTATTTTAATCCTAATTGCAATACCAGCACAATAAATCTTCTCTATTGGTGTTAATTATAATTATACCTCTTCAACTACATCCACATAACAGTAATGATGGTGAGCACAAATGAGAGTTTGAGTTATTTTATGTTATTTGTGTAACATTTTCTCCAGCAGTATCGATTACTTTATCAATTAGTATAAATATAGTTGAAAAAATAAATATGGTTGAAGCTAAAAAGTGGATAAGTTCATTGATGTTATGCCAGTAACCTTAGGTACCATGAGAAAAAGAACACCAAAGTCAGTAATTCATAAAAAAAAGAAAAGGAAAAACAGTCTCTTCTTGATTTAAAGCGTGGACATGTAATAAATATGTTTGGTAATGATAATGCTGATTTATTACAGACTTTAAGGTAATCAGAACACAAACCATATAGGAATGTGGCAAGTTTATCATAATGTAAACAGACCTAATATGTATATAAAGAAAACAGTGAAAGTGACATTAAGCTCTGAAGATTGCTTTAGAAAACTGATATATAAATGATATTGGAAGTAAATCCAAGTACACAAAGAAAGAAGAATAAGTACAAAGCTTAGCCAGAAGGGATTAATATTACATTTCATTACTAAGTGTGGGGGGTCCATGTCTTTACTGGCAGGTTAGAGAGGAAGCATCAAAAAGCTGAGTTACTTTATTTAGCAAGAACTAAAATCAATTAAAAGTAACCTAAAGTAATCAGCCTCTCATTCTAACACTGCCAACCAGTGCAGAGCTTTGTGGTCAGTGCATGTGGGGGAGCTCTAAGACTGAAGGAATGCCAGCCCTGGAGCAAGATACCATACCCAGGCTCAGGGGCCATTCACACACTTTGCTTTCATTTTACAATCAAATTTCCAAATAAATATAACATTGCAAAAACATCTACTGCAATACCTACTTATTTGTAAAAACCTCTGAAAACTCCAAAGTTTCTAGGTAATAGTTTCAGTAAAACTCTCCCGTACTCCCTGAAAAATTGAAAATAAAATTACCATATGATTCAGCAATTCCACTTCCGGGTATTATATTTGGAAAATTGAAAGCAGGGTCTTGGAGACATACTTGTACATCCATGTTCATATCAGCATTATCCATAATAGCCAAGGGGTGGAAGCAATCCAAATGTCCATCAGTGGATGAATGGATAAGCAAAATGTGGTCTATACATAAAATGGGATATTAGCCATAAAAAGGAAGGAAATCCTTTCAAGTGCTATAACATGGATGAACCTTGAGGATATTACACTAAGTGAAATTTTTAAAAAGTGACACAAAAAATCAAATATTGTATGATTTCATTTTCATGAGGTACCCAGAATAGTCAAATTCAGAGACATAAAGCAGAAGAGTGATTGCCAGGGGCTGGGGGGACGGGGAAATGGGAAGTTGTTGCTTACTGGGTAAAGAGTTTCAGTTTTGCAGGATGAAAAGTGTTCTGGAGGTTGGTTACACAACAATGTGAATGTACTTAACACTACTGTGTCATACACTTAAAAAATAGTTAAGATGGTAATAGTAATAAAATAGTAATAAAAAAAAGTCTTCTATGAGTGTTAGAATGTAATTTCAAACTATAATTCATACTATCAACTCCATAAATGATTTAACTTTTATAGATAATATAACTTAAAGTTCTATACATTTGGAACAATGCTAAGTCATTATTTTTTGCTTTGGGGTAAAATGTTAAAGAAAAGTATGACTAACAAAAACAATCAAGATTAGCATTTATTATTAAAAATAAATTAATTTTAATAATGAGAAAAATACAGTAAATTTAAGTAATAAATGCTATGACAAAAAGAATTTTAAATAAAAAGGAAAAAAGTTTAATAGATTATTTTAAAATGTATCACTGTCATATTTAATATTTTATTAATTAGTATTAGTTTTATTTTTACTATTTAATACTTAATGAATATTGATATGTATACAATTAGAGCTCAAAAATGGAGGAGAAAAATCAAAATGCTCAACCATGTGAAAATCAAAACCATAAGGCTGGGTTAGGTCTACTTTTATATGATTCAGTTTTCTCAATGCTGCCATTTGATTTTTTTTCCCTTCATGACACAATTGTTTTTAACTCATAAATTTAATAAATATTTACTGAAAACCTGTGATGACCAGATAATAAATATATACTTGATAGTATATAAACAGTGATGAATAAACAGACATGTCCCTGACTGACAGGCATTTATTGATTAAACAACTCAAATGTACAAATGACAATAGTTATGATGGGAAAGAATTTATTGCCATGAGAGAATTAGATGCCTCATTCTGCTACCAAGATCTGGGTGTAAGAGTGCCAGGCCATGGAATTGGTATCACTCACAGTCTACCAATTAAGAACTGTGTGACCTTGGGCAAGTTTATTTAATCTAATCTTTCAGAGCAGAATGATAGCCTAAACTATAATTCTGAAGAGCTACTTTACAGAGTAGCTCTTATATAGTCATATTCTCTTATACAGTCATTAATCAATATATATTCTTAGCCAAATATCCAAAAATAGTGCAGGGCAAGCATTAAAATGTTAACTAATTAAGATCTTGTCTTGGCTTCCTAGTTCATTCACAAAGACTAGTCTACTTAACTCAAACTAATATAAAATATTTAAAGGAATTAAAGGATTACTCTTAATCAGGTAATTCACAAAGTACAGCTGACCCTTGAATAACGTAGGAGTTAGGGATGCCAACCAAGAACAGTTGAAAAACCGCCAACTGCTATCTCTGCCTCAAAAACAAAGGAACTGATAAATGACTCACCCAAGGGAAGGAGGCTGAAATAGTTTGCAGAGGTTCACCACTTAAACCCTAATTCTTCTGATTCCATATATTGTGATCTCTAATCAAACACAAACTTTCCCCCACACTTAAAGATCTGTAAAATGAAAATAACAGGTACTATGTTTATTTTAAAAAGTCTACATATAAGTGGACCCCTGCAGTTCAAACCTGTGTTGTTCAAGGGTCAACTGTACCAAGATAAAAAACTTTTGTATGTAGTTTAGAATGTTGCTAGTAATTATGGGAAAGACTATTATATACTATGGTTTTCAAAAGGAAAGTATAACCAAATCACAGTGTGTAGAAATATTTATAAGTACCTCAAATGTAATCTCACTTAAATAAATGTACGTAGGGATTTTAACTAAACATAACTAAGCTCTGGGTTTATTTCACTTATTTCCTGCTTTACTGACATTTGTTTGAAGTTGTACTATTAAAGTCTCCCCAACTTTTTCTCTTATGTATTTCTGCATACTGAAAGTTCTCAAGTGAAATAGTAGTATAGAGGCTTTTTTACAAATAACACCACTGCTGAAGAGAAGACGAGTTCTTCAAAATGATTTTAGACATTATCTACATTCACGTACAAACTCACTTCAGTATTGGTCTTAAGAGTCAACATACCAGTAACTACTAGAGAAGAAAAATCTTCCCAAAGGTGATGATTACAGAAGTATTAGGACTCTATTACCCTCATTAGCAAAAGCACTTGTTCAGATTTCTTTCTGTACTTACATTAAAATCTAAGTAGCATTAGGAGAGGTGAATATTCATGACATAAATTCACAGAAAGGCATAAATAATGAACAGCCAGTAAGTTCTTTATAGTAGATTTCAACAGAACTAGCTTATCTTAAGGGCCCTTTTATCTGAAAAGGGAGAGAGTGACATAGGGAATAAAAGAGTTACAAAAATAGAAAGTGTTTGAAAAAGTCAAAGACTGATATCAGTGAATAAAAACAGTTTTGTCAGAGAAAGACACAAAACACTGAGAAATAGTGAAGATATTTTTAAAATTATACATTTTAAATATAAAATGCATAAGCTGTATATTGAAAATGTTATGTAAACAAAAACAAATTGATATAAACAGATAACTGAGTAACTGAAACAAACCACCTAATGACCACTAGACCAAATTAAAAATATATACAGTTGATTCTCAGTATTAGCAGTAGTTGAGTTCAACAAAGTCACTGAAAACACTGAGTTAGTGAATACTGATTCATGCCTCCTGGAGAAATACAAGGTTAGGTTCCTGAGAGCTTCTGGTCACAAAATTTTTGTCATCAAATCAATACTTAACCTTGCTTTATGTGTGTTTCTGTTTAAAGGTACCTTCACAGATATTCAAATTCATTAACAGTGAACTCATGGCCAACAGCATTATAATGCACGCCTGAAAGTCTAACACAAAGATTTTCTCCATGAGACACATGGGGAGTAGTGTTTGATAAAACTTTAAGCAGAGGAGTGTTTGATATAACTTACATTGTGAAAGTATCATCCCAGCTGTTGTGTGGATATCAGGATATGTAGGGCAAGGGTAGAGATGTGAAGAGTTCATCAAAGTTCCAAAGCAAGAGGCAGTGATTACAACAGTGGTGGCCAGAAAGTAGGTATAAAGTGGTCATGTATGTGGTATATTTTGAAGACAAAGCAAATGGAATATGCTTATTAATTGGCCTTGGGGTTTAAGACAAAAAATGGAATTAGGGATATTACTTGAGTAAATAGTGACATACTGAAACACTAAATACTGAAATAGGGAAGACTGAAGGTGAGTGGGTTAGTGTGGGTAAAATAAGACAATCAAAGGCTTGATGTCAGTCAGTTAAAGATGAGAGGCCTACTAGACATTCAAATATGTCCAGCATATGAATAAAGGAGGAAAAACATAAGGAAATAAAGCAAAATGAAGAAAGGACAGGAAACTAGAGATAATAAATAAAATGTACTATCAGCCAAACTGTGACATGACTCTACCTCATTTCCAAAGCTTAGCAATAACTTATTCATTCACTTAATCAACAAGTATTTATTAAATGACTACTCTGTGTCAGGCATGGTTTTAAGTGCCTGAGGTGTAAATCTTTCTTATTTGTCCTTACATTATCCTATTTTTGAAGAATATCACTCTTACTATATTGATATATCAAAACAAACAAAAAAAACCAGAAAACCAAAAAAAAACTGCAAACCAACTAAGCCAGCAATTTCTGCATCTCAGTTTTTAGATGCATGGAATGAATGTATTTGCTGACATCACTACTATAATAGAATTCTATAAAACATTGAATTATATATTGAAAGGTAGTTCATCACTTAATTTTTGCAATAGCACAAAATATTAACACATGTAATGTGGTCATTAGATAATTTTTCAATGAACCAGTTGTTTTGGTCTAAAAAGTGAGTCCTACCCAATTTTAGTTTACTCTTTACAATAAAGTGTTCTATTTGAATAATGTTTGCAATCCAATAAAATTTAAAAATAAATGTGAATCAGATAATCTCAGAACCAAGGTTTCCAAAAATGCAAAGGGGTCAGGGGCATAAACATCATGATCACAGCATAAAAGAGAGTTTTTTCATGATTAAAAAGAAATATGTCTTGAAAATTAGAAGGTACAAGCAAAGGGGTAGAGACAACACCAAAAAATATGTTACACAGTTTACAGGTGGGGGTATGAGTTTCTCTGGACTTTTGAGTAACACCTGGATTCCCCTGGGGCTCCTGCTATGGGGACTGGGACACCACACAGTCACCACACTCAGTGGCAAGCACATCCTGGCAATGAATGGGGTTCTCTACACTGGCCTTCTGATCACTTGGACAGTAAGTAGGCCTTCTAATTTCAGTACAGAAATAATCTCCAGTAATGGCATCTGGATCTCTAACTCTTTCTTGGACCTACTGCCAGCACCTCATCATTCCTTCCTACTCCACCTTGGGCTCTCAATTTCTAGCCTGATTCTGTAATTTAAACATGCTCAGGAGTTCTTGACAATTCCCATATCTCTTAGCTTCTAATTCCTCACTCAGTTCTCCCCACTACACAAAAATGACTCATTAGCTAGTGCAGTAGTTTTAGATGCAGACTTTGCTCCAGGATTCTGACTGGCCTTTGGTTTATTCTGCCCTCATCTAATAATGCAATGTCGGTGCTGATCTCTTCCCCAATAAATATTTTTGATGAAGTCAAAAGCTCCTAAGAATATTTAAATCCCTGTTTTTTTATATAAATAATTTTCTGCATAATGATAAAAAGGTGAAAAATGGATTTACACTGTAACAACAACAAAAAAGATGATCTACCTTTAACCTCTTAGTTTAGAAGAGAAATAAAAGTTTTTTATTTAATGGACTCTTCAAGCATTCTTGTGAAACAAGCCTGGTCATTTGTCAAAAGAAACTATTGACAGTACTTCAAACATTCTAATTCAAAAAGCACAGATAATGTAAACTCACTTTAATCTTCTTGAAAATGTCTGCAGTAAGAGGAAAGAGGAAAAAAAAAAAAACCTCTTTCGCTCTTGATGTTGCATTTTATAGGCAATCCTTTGCTTCTTTGTTGATGAAAAAGCTGATTCTCTAGTTCTTTGCTTTTTTAATGAGGATCCCTTAAATGCACTGTCATTTATGGAGGATGTGCCCCACAAAGGCTGCCTGAAGGACTTTACCTCAAAGGCCTGAAAGGTCAGCCCGACATAGCAGTCTTCTGACACTGCTATTTTCCATACACATTCTTTCATCGGCCTGTAGTCATCAGGGTAATTAGGAGACTGAATCTGTCCTTCATTTTTACGTATCTCACCTCCACAGATAGCTGAGGAAAGCAAAAATAAACAAATAAATAAACCTAGACATGCCATTTCATTTTCATTTGCTTCTAAGATAACATTTTAGTTTGGTGCCTGGAGCTGAGTACATAAAAACCAGGTTATAAAAATCAAGGTTGGCTGGTTGTAAATATTTAGTTGGTTAAAAAAAAACCTAGCCACTTAACTATAAATATTAGATAACAGTCAGCAGAGGAATATATGATTTTTTATCACTGTTAATTCACATTTTTACAAAAACAAGCATTTTAAAAAAAAACTTTAAAAACCTTTTGAGATTTTGTAATTTATTCTATGTGAGTTTTCTCTGACACTCTGAACTGCTTCTTTAGGTCTTTTACCTCAGTGGAGGAGCTGATCAGGAGAGAAGCGCCACAAAACTCTCTGGGCCTCTGGCTGTGAGCGGCCCTCGTGCTCAACATCTGTGGCTCCATCCAAACCATACTCTTCACAACCACACAGTTAATCTCTAAAACAAATGCTTCCATCCTCTTAAAAGTCTAAGAGAAGCAGAAATCTTCTGTCTTCTAAATAACCTAAACTTCTGTGCTGGCAGAGGCAGGAGCAAGAAGGGTCTTCTCTACCCACGATCTGGCAAGAAGGTTTTTAAAGCCAGGAAGCACAATGCCAGTTTACTGTTTTAGATACATATAGAACAAAGCCTCTAGTAAATTCTTCTTGAATGCTGACACTCTCATTTAGACAAAGCAAGCTCCAGAACTGTGCGCAATTACTTTCTGTGCAGTTTCCTTTATCAAGGCATTTCCGCGGTATAGCCATCAAACACATACAAACTCAGCACAAAGATAAGTGGTCATTTCTTCATAACATTTTAATGTTGTCATGAAAAAACAACCGAAGTTTAAGAACTCTTTTGCCGTTTGTTGTTGCTGTTGTTTTCCACACATCTCTATAATGAGTTTTTTTTTCCCCACACATCCCTGATGAGTACATTTACATGTTACCACATTACTGGTACCAGAAAGCAGGTTGTTTCTGCAGTTTAAATTTACCAAGTATTTTTATTAAAATCATCATAATGAACATTATAATACAGGTTTAGAAAATTTTGTAATTGAAATACAGTTACAATATCATTCTAATGAAATTGAGAGAAAGGATATTTCTGTTTAGAGGTCTAAGAAGAAGCCATCTCTAAACTCAATGTGACTTGCCTTCATAGATAGCTGCAAAGCCCTTTCCCACCCAATTACTGCTGCTACGAAACTCAATCCACATTCTGCTGTCTGTAGAGGTTAGAACTTCAGGCAATTTGTCCCCACAGAATCTACCTAAAAGAAATAAAAGAATAAAGAGACTCCTAAATATGACTTTATATTCTAATTGCTTTTCATACTAGCTACAAATTGCATACATAAAACCTGATTTGGTTCCTGTATCTACCCCTAGGAACTAGAGCTATAATTATTCTTTAATATTTACTTAATAAAGGTAGATAAATAAATCTCTTCATATTTATTTATAGAATATTGGAACATATCACTCTCAGATTAACTGACTGATGTCAGTATCATTATCTGTAGAATTAAGTAACAGCTAGCTCAAAACATGTCCTATTTGTAAAATGACACATGATATATCAAGGTGGGGAATATTATTCTATGGAAAACAGAAAAAAGTACAAGTGATCCTGATAAACTGCTTCAAATGTTCAATTTGCTCATTAGTAGGGAAGTGACAGCTCAAAGTATAGTTCTTTGTTTAGCCATGTTCAATGGCGACTTGTCAGGGAAACCCACAGACTGCCCAAGGATCTTATGTTACTACATACATCTCATCTATAAAGCTGTAGTATGTAGTGTAGTAGGCAGAATGGCAAACAGTATCAGAAGACTTAATAATGAGTTCTAATTTTTTCTGATTGTTTATCCACAGGCAAGTATAATACTGAGCAAATATATTATTGCCTGTCATTCCTTCTTCCCTCCTTCAACCTTCCACAAATATTCGTTGCTTACTGTATATCTGCTACTGTGCTCTAAGATTTTATGATGACAGAAAGTTAAATATGACAATGCACATGAAATAATTCCACAAAGAATAATATATTGTCATCCATTTTTGTGTGCCCTTGGTAATGATGTCATATATAGTTTTAGTATATGAAAAATGTCAGTCAACTTAAAACAAATTCATACTAACAGATAGCAGGTGAAAAAATGTCTCCCTAAATGGCAAAGTAAATTAGGGACATGTAAAAGAGAGCAATGTCCCTTAAACTGTAATGTGTGGGAAAGGGAGAGGGTGAGGGATAATTAGGAGTATGAGATTAACAGATACAAACTACTATGTATAAAATAGATAAACAAAAAGGATTTACTGTAAAGCACAGGAAACCATATTCAAAACCTTGTAATAACCTGTAATGGAATATAATCTGAAAAAATAATATATATCTATATCTGAACCACTTTGCTGTACACCTGAAACTAACAACACTGTAAATCAACTATACTTCAATTCTTTAAAAAAGGAAACTGGAAGAAAGTAACCTGACTAAAAGAGAAAAAGCTATAATGTGCATATGAATTGCCAGGGAGTCTGTCAAAATGCAGTCTCTGGTTCAGAAGGTATGGAGTGGGACCTGCATTTCCACACTTCTAACCTTCTAAGTGATTCTGATGCTGCCAGTGTGACAACTACACTCTGAGGAACAAGGTCTCAGAGGAAATAGTGGGGAAAGCTTTCCACATGAGCACTGTAATCAGACTAAGCCAGTCTGTGAGGCCATTATACCCTGCAGTGTGTAATGCTGATGGCGCTCTAAAAAGTGTTCTCAATATTTCAGTTTTAGAATTGGTTTTCAAATATGAGTTTAATGAAATGTTTTCTTTGGAACACACATACACATATTACAAATTGCTTCATCTAGGCTAAGAAACTAAATGTTCAATACAATGTTTTCCTCATCCTGACTTATCAAATTAGCTCAAATCTTAATTTTTCCTTATTTTTAAGCATTTCTACAGATCTCTTGGACTTACTAAGGCTGCTGTCACTTTTAATACAACAGTGTCCATTCAGCAGGTTTTAGATATTAAGAAGAAAAGATATGTAGGCAAATAAACACAGCTGAGTAAAGCTACTTCTAAAAATAGAAGTACAATCTCAAAAAAAAATGTCAGTAGAGTAGATGCTCACATGCTCACAGCAGCTCTCACCTTTAAGTAAAACAGAGGGCAACAGAAAGTGCCTAATGTAAGTTAGTGATGTGGTCTGTGGTTAAATGTTGGTAGCATATTTTCATGAGCACCAAATGTGAGCTACAATTTATGACACAAACTACAGATGCACCTTCTCAGCCACAAAAACCTGAGTAGCAAAACTGTGACGTCTACAATAGGAACCAATATCCTTGGTGCAGGAAGCCAGCAACCAAATGTGTACCTAACAGCTCGTGCTCTACTGCCTTAGCAAACAAAGCAAAACAACATACACACACAAATACACAATTTATCTGGTTTACTCATTAAAACTCTGATTTTAAAATTAAAAATACAGAATATGTGATGATTATTCACTATAAGCTATTCTAAATCATTATGTTAAGGTCCAAATACCACCTCATAATTGAAACTGGTTTAAATCAATTAATTGTCTATTTATCTATCTGTCTGTGAGTATTTTTGCTGTGATTGAAAAAAGTATAAGAAAAATTAAAATGTTGGTCTCATACATTTTAAACCCTAAGATAACTCTTGAAAGAATTGTCTCTGGACAAGACAGACTACATGCATAGCCACATAAGAGGCAAAAAAATCTCTTACCAAGGAGAGGTGATTTCCTCCAGTACCCATCTCTTACTTCAATGTAATCATACCAGCACAAACTACTTTTGTATAGGTCCATCGTAGTAAAGTTTAAGACAATCTTCAAAATGTAACAAAAGAATACACAGATTAAAAATGATTGTAACTTCACATGGCTAGGAACCCAGGACTACTGTGAAAAGAGATTCATAGCAAATTTTTTTCCTGTATTAGTATCCCTCTAATATTTTTAAAATAAACACCTCAAAAAAACACCCATTTTCTCATTTACTTTAATGTCTAACAATTTAGAAGCACAATGTCAATAAAGAAACTAAACATTTCAGCAATTAAACCAAAGTTCCTGTAAAGTTAATTTGAACAATTGTGAAACAAACAGAAGTCTTTATTCAAATAGTTTATTTTGAATTTTCTTAGATAAGCATGACTTAAACCATGAGAACTTCTGATTTTACTGAGTGTCTTCTTTTTAATAATTTATTTCAGACATCTATAATTACATTAAAAATAACCACCATGTGCCATATTCCAGGAACATAATATCATTGTGTATGTTGAAATGTTTTAAATACAGCTCTAGAATTCAAATTTGTCCATGTAACTATAATCAAAGACAGATGTCACTATGTTTCTCCAGATCCAAGAATATGTATTCGAAGACCTTTTAAGTTAGAAGATCTTATACATGACCCTTTATTCTGTACTTTGTTTTGAAATGATGCTGCCTTTTAAGATAATTCAAGAGCAACTTTAGAAAAGACAGTTTTCTTACTGCTTTATAAAAAGACTTTACTTTTCATATAATTAACTTTCTTTTTAGTTGATTACACCAAAAAGTAGAGCCAAACTAACATAAAAATGCATATATCTGCTGAGGTAAAATTCACTTGGAAAATACTTTTTTATATTCAAAACCTCATTCTAACTCTATTCTGCTTAAAACATATAAGATGCTTAAGGTGTACAATGAACCTGTTCTTTAATCTAGAAATTGAAATGGACTTTGTCCAAAAGCAACAAATTATGAATATTTGACATACTTCTAATATAAAACTGTAGGTTGTAACAGTATTTACAGAATCCTTTTGTGTCAATATAAAAATTCCAATGTAGGAAGACTCTCGAGGAATGAAAAAAAAAGGAAAGAAAAAGCATAATTTTGAATCCATATTCCCTAAAAGTACTACCTTTTTTGTGTTAGAAAACATATACTTCTCCCCTTTCTTGAGCAAAGTATTTAACAGAAAGGTAAGTACTAATTATGGCAAATCAATCCTCACTCAACTAGCTTACTTCTTCCTAGGATGAAGATACAGCATAACAATAAATATTTCTCATGGCATCTTATATCTCAGCACCATGATGATCATTGATGAAATTGTATGCCAAAGTTGGTTTTAATTGCCCATATAAATAACAATTTCACAGAGATGGAAATTAAGAATTTATCTAACTATAATGAAAGTCAGTTGTACCTTATAATGGTGTTAACATTTCACCGTTAAATTCAACATTTACCAGTTTCTTTAAACATGTACTTTCTTGATTACAGAAGGGTGAAATCTATCAAGAATGTGAAAATAGAGACAAGATGTTGTTTAACTGTAATGCAGTAGGTGTGGCATAATTTGCTTTATTAATAAAACTTCATTTATTTCTTTCTACCTTATTTATAGTTTTTTTTCTTTTTCCTTTGTTTTTTTTTCCTTCATCTGATTTTATCATTCTAAATATTCTAAAAAACCTTTTACAAGAATTTCCAAAATATCAAAGGACAAAGAACTAATCCTTTTTTTCCCTTTCTTTTTCAATAACCCTCCATACTTGATTATCAAAATGCAGTTTCTAAACTATTTTTCTGTAGTTACCAATATGCTTGCTCTTCCATCTCTGAATACCAATTCAACATTAGGTTATTCTTAGGACATAATTAGGAAATAATTTCTGGTTTTCCCCCTTAACTTTATATTTACTTTAAGTCTGCTACAAATGGGGAATACTACCACTGTCTGATATTAAGTTTCATTCTCCATTTGTATTTTCCCTGTAGCAACCACCAGGGTTTCAACTCTGTATGATCATATGAGAACTAATTTATTATAGCAGAGAGGGCAAAACTAGAATACAGACACAAACAGTAGACCTCAAGGCTCATTTGTGGCTTCCTTCTGGGGTATAAAGGAGTTGTATAATGGTATGCAAAGAGTTTCAACTTCCTCCTTGATGAGGAAAAAATCAGCTAAATTGGAGGGATGCGTGTCATCAAAATTTATTCAAAATTGAAACGATGTGGTTGGATTGCTAACAAACAGTTAATATTTGAAGTCTGGAACACACACACATACACATACGTGCGTGCACGTGCACACACACACACACACACACACACACACACAGTTGGAAGGGGGGTAACTCTAAACAGAAAAGTTTCCTATCTTGTTTTTAATCTTCTATTTTAAACTCCAAGCACTGTGAAGGAACAAAACTGGCCTACTTTAATGTAAAACATAGCGTCCTTTAGAAGCAGAAAATGTAATAAAGATAGGTTTTCGAAAATCAAATCTTAGGGCTCTGATGTAGAAGTGAAACGTTGGCCTTTGAATAAGGTTGCTAGCAGAATCCATAATTGAATTACAAATCAAAAGCACTTGAAAAATATTTGATTGTTTTATATTATGCTATTTTATATAAATACATTGCATCTTTTTTTCAAAGAATGATGAAATAAAAACTACCTAGCACAATTATATAGATGTTTTATTTCTTATGTTAAGTATCAGTTTACCATTTCTCAATTTAAGATTAATCATAGTTCCTCTGGAACATGGGATTGAGGGAGATACAAGGAAAATTCTAAGATTTCTTGTGATCTGTTCGGGGCCTTACTTGCTATTCTGCAAATTAAATGGATTCAATTGCTGTGGAGTTTGCTTACTAAAGACTTTGTTTTACAATCTTACAGAGTGAACAATCTTGAAGAAAGGCAGATCAACAGTCAAGGGACTAGATGTCTGGAAGTCTCCAGAGAATGATATAAGCAGTGAACTTTTGTCAGCACGATTAAGACATTACTATCTACCTAAACTAATTCCATGAACACCATAAAAAGACCAATTAGAATAATATTTATACCTTATAGTGCTGGGGATGGGGAAGGTAGAAATCTTGTCAATTAGACTGATATTATTAAATAGTTTTTAGAAAGAGATATTAGAATTAAAAGCAGTAAAATAAAATAGATTTCAGGGCTCCATCCAGAAGCAGCTTGGACAAGTCTGATAAACTCTCTAGGCAGACAACTATTTTCTTCTCAGAAATAAGACTAGGGGCAAAATCAGGGACCAGTAAACTATACCCCATGGGCCAAATCCAGCCTGTAGCCAGTTTTTGTAAAGAAAGTTTTGTTATACACATTCGTTTACAAATTGTCTATGACTGCTTCTGCAATACAATGGTAGCACTGGGTACTTGAACAAACTGCATACCTGGCAGAGTAAAAAATATTTACTGTATATCCTCTCCAGAAAGATTTGCCAAATCCTAGAATAATTGATAATTAAGGGTTTGTTCAGTGCTGAACTATATCATACTAAAGGGAAAATTTGCATTTATTTTCACAACTAGGAGTTGTTTGTGACTTTGAGTGAAAAAGTGTAGGTTCAAGTTCTAGCTTCTCAGTTTGCTAGTTTACTTAAACTTTCTGAGTTTGAATGAATGTTCTTGCTATAAAATAGAGATCATCATATCAGGCTGATCTCAGCAGAATTAAATCAGAGAGATTTAATTGGATAATGTGTAGAAAAACACTAAAGTAATCTAAATACATTGTTAAGATTCTCATGTATTATTATTTTCATGGTACATACTTGAGCATCCCTTACAATATAAATCCTGAACAGGAGTTGAGGAAGATGGCATAAGAGTAAGAGGCGGAAATCACCTTCCTCCCCACAGATACATCAGAAATACATCTACACGTGGAACTGTTCCTATAGAACAATCACAGAACGCTGACACGTCACAACACATATTAATCAAACTACCAAAAATTAAATACAAAGAAGACATATTAAAAGCAGCAAGAGAAAAAACACAAATAACACACAAGGGAATCCCCCATAAGTTTCTGGCAGCAGAAACTCTGCAAGCCAGAAGGGAATGGCAGGACATATTTAAAGTGATGAGGGAGAAAAACCTTCAACCAAGATTACTCTACCCAGCAAGGATCTCATTCAGATTTGATGGAGAAATTAAAATCTTCACAGACAAGCAAAAGCTGAGAGAGTTCAGCACCACCAAACCAACGTTACAACAAATGCTAAAGGAACTTCTCTAGGCAGGAAACACAAGAGAAGGAAAAGACCTACAATAACAAACCCAAAATAATTAAGAAAATGGGAATAGGAACATACATATCGATAATTACCTTAAATTTAAATGGATTAAATGCTCCCACCAAAAGACACAGACTGGCTGAATGGATAAAAAAAGATCCGTATATATGCTGTCTAAAGAGACCCACTTCAGACCTAGGGACATATACAGAGTGAAAGTGAGGGGATGGAAAAAGACATGCCATGCAAATGTAAATCAAAAGAAAACTGGGGGCTTCCCTGGTGGCGCAGTTGTTGAGAGTCTGCCTGCCGATGCAGGGGACATGGGTTCGTGCCCCAGTCTGGGAAGATACCACATGCTGTGGAGTGACTGGGCCCGTGAGCCATGGCTGTTGAACCTGCATGTCCGGATCCTGTGCTCCGCAACGGGAGAGGCCACAACAGTGAGAGGCATACATACGGCAAGAAAAAAAAAAAAGAAAGAAAGAAAGCTGGAGTAGCAATTCTCATATCAGACAAAATAGACTTTAAAATAAAGACTATTACAAGAGACAAAGAAGTACACTACATAATGATCAAGGGATTGTTCCAAGAAGAAGATATAACAATTGTAAATATTTATGCACCCAATATAGGAGCACCTCAATACATAAGGCAAATACTAACAGTCATAAAAGGGGAAATCGACAGTAACACATTCATAGTATAGGACTTTAACACCCCACTTTCACCAATGGACAGATCATCCAAAATGAAAATAAATAAA